GTTTGACTATGATCATAAAGTTCGCGAGTTCGAGGCTCGAGTTGAAGGCCCCTTGGTCTGGGTATGACTGACTAAACCATCTCCCTTGTCTTTGCCAGCAATAATATCTACGTTCCTGACTGCCGGCTAAGTCAATTAAGTCCAGCCCATTTTCTCAATCCGGTGGAACTTTTGTCTGGGAGTAGAAGAGGGAGGCCTGTGACTACTAGGCGAGCATTTTCTTTAAACAAAACGTCTCAGGAGCGTCTCTAATTACACTGATAGACTGGCTAATGTTTGTCAATGGAACTGGGTTAGCTCTGAAGCCAGAATGTTAATTGATCTCACATCTGTTCATTCTTGTCTTCCACTACTCCTAACTGCTTAAGAGTTTTAGTTTCATGCGTTTGCAGGCAATCCACGATGGATTTGTGGATTTTTCTATCGCTATCGTTTGTTTCACTGTGACTTTTTTCGAAGGTGTTTAAGATATTGTAAAGATGAGTTCAATGGTCGCGTTTTATATAAGGATATTTGCTGAATTATGTTCTATGAACTACAAAACTTGGATCATACTTTGGGCTGACAGTGAACCATTTGCATGAGCATTTAGGAGAATATTTCAGGAGCCGGAACTCTCCGAAGTCTCTAAAAAAATGCCAAGGAAACTCGTTGAAATGTGCGAGGAAAGTAGTGGAATTTGATGGCACTAGTGCTAGTGTAATGTCTGGAATTTCTAACCTGCGGTCAGAGGTTCCACGAATTCTGCACTGATAAATCTAGAGGAAAAATAGACGGACATAACTTCAATGAATTCTTATCAGGGCAGGTCAATTATGCAACAAATCAGCGTACAAATAACTGACCAGTTAGTCTGTTAAGGGCAGTTCAGAAAGGTTTACGTGGGGATATAGGAGATGTATACCAATATATCCATGGCAAAACGCAACCCAAGTATACTTTTGCCAAAATTTCCTCCGGCTGGAAGTACAGGAACATCATAGCTTTCACTGAACGGTTTATCTTTGGCATATTCACAGTTTATTCACTTGAACATCAAGTCATTAGTTTTTGTTTCGCTAGAATTAGACAGTCTGTGTCTTCAGCTAGATCCCCTTCTCTCAGTAATAC